TGGGGTTTTCAATTACTACATCAGTACAGCAGCACAAAAATTCCCTACTGTATGCACTCATGTACAAACTGTATTTACTCATTTGGACTTACCTTAAAAATTTGAGTTACTTTATAACCAAAAATTGGGTCATTCTTATTTCCAGTAGAGTTTTGGAATTGTCGTAAAAGGAAAAGCTCGAGTATTCATGAATTTACATAAAGTCCTGTCTTGACCTTGAAGTTCTTGTAACTTTTATTATGATTTGGCGCTGTATACAATGACTGTTTTAATGAATTGAAAACTGACTGCTAGTGGTTGGTGTGTGCACCCCATGTCTGGAGGCTGTAGTCCTCAAAGCTGGCAGCCTGGGTTCGAGGCCGACCTGTGGCTCCTTTCCCCACTCTTTCACTCTCCGATTTTTTGACTCTATCCACTGTCCTATCTCTAAATAAAAGGCGCAGAAAGCCATAGAATAAATCTTTTATAATGGACCTTAATGCTAACTAGTTTACCGGGTCACAGTGAACCAGTATCTGCAGTGACGTGCTACACCGGAAGCTCCAAAATGTTAGCCATCGCTTCCTATACGGTAATCCTCATCAGAAAATAGACAATCATTTTCAAATTGATGAAAATAATAAAATCCCAAGATTATTTAATAAAAACAATTGAGTTAAGAGAACCCAACCTGTGGTCAGATCTTTGTGTTTCCTTATGCCTTACTCTCTGGTTTACATATCCACTTTTTCCAAGGCCATGGATGATACTGTTCATGAGTTTATGTCAACGAAACATTCTCATACAGCTGCGGACCTGTCATGACAAAATGAAATAAGCCGTGTGAATATTGTACCTCAGTATGTAGCATTTAAACTAATGCATCACAGGAGCGTCTGAGCATTCAAACAAACTCTTTATAAATCTTGTAGGTTTAGAAAACAAATCACAGATAGACCATCAACATGTAAAGAAAAGAATCTATTACACTACCAGAAGAATGTGTGTGATGGTGTTCTTGTTGCTATGGCTGTGTAATGTAGCATGTCCTATTTTTGCAATAACATGTGTTTTGTGTAGTTAGTAATACTATGCTATGACTTTGTCATGGTTGTGGAAGAGGAGAACTGCACTAATTGGGTTAAATCTTTGAGCTTGGCCCCCCTCCTCTTTTTTTCTCTAAAGTCCTACTGACAAAGAAGAGCAGAGTAAGCTGCTCCTCCGAGCTCTTGTTACAAAAAGGAATGATTGCTCTTACTGTCAAAGTGTTTTATGGATGCACAGTGCTCCAACAGGCCGGGCACATAATAGGCAGGCAGGGGGTTACTCTGTGGCATTATGTTGCCTACCACTGATTTATATAGGCAACATACTCTCTCTCCTGCTCTCTCCTGCTCTCTCACACACTCTCTGATGTGATTTTACAGTAGTGACATTGATCCAGGCCCACTTTGATCTTGCTCTTAGCTGTTGCTCCTTCTTGCTCCCCTCCCGCTATCACCCTCTCCTCCCTGGTGGCCAGACTCTGCAGCTTTTAACCCCGACTACCCCTCGTCTTATCCCATAAATCCTTCCATCTTTCTCTCCATCATTCCACCACTCCATCTCTCTTGTGCTTCTCTGTATAAGTGTTCTTTTACTCCTGGAAGCCTCTCCGCTGCTCCAGGGAATTGTATGTCGCTGATGAAACCTCACACTCCCTCCTATCAGCTTCAACTAGTCAGGTATCACGTATGCAGGGAGGAAATTAGCGTTGATCCAACACTGAAGGAAAGCGAGGCATCAGGAAAGAGCGGAGAAAGGCAGCACATCACGGGATTTTTTATGAAGTACTCCACCTCTTAGATTCGGTATCTCTTTGTCTCTTCATCTTTTTTGATTTGATTTTCAGGGAGCATCCACTCTGCAAAAAAAAAAAAATCCAATCTCATAAGGAAGAACAAAGATGCCTCTTAAAATAAGCTTCACATTTGAAGATAAAAAATGAGAATCATGATGTTTTCAGTCAGTGTGCATTTTCATACAGAATTATTTTAGAAACCAGTTTTTAAAATGAGAATATTTATTGAATCCTCTTTTGTCTTGAAGCAGACTGAATGAAGAATCTGATCGTGACTGGTATGAGATTGTCACATCAACTTTTCAGAAAGAGAAACGGAACATTTCCCATCAAGACGGCTTCTACCTATCTGTTTCCATTCAAACTCAAGCTAAACAGTGCATCCAGTTCAGGGATCTTTCATCCTGCTGACTCAAAATTATTTTAAAAACGTTTCATTATTTGAATGAAAGAGTGTATTTCTTTATTCATTCTTCATATTGCCACACATCATCGTAGCGTAACATATAAGAAGTAAAAAGATGTTGGTAATGACCTACATTCTCACTGTGTAACTCAGAAAAACCACAGCTGAGAACAATTCTATATTTCATATTAATTAAGACAAGTACACTAAAACTTGGAATAAAGCTTCAGTCTAAGAAAAACCCTTTAATTCAATGCTTCAATTTACAATCACAAATAATAACAACTCAACACACAGACAGGCTTGTTAAGGACTTACAGTTTGAATAACCACAGCTGTGACACACTCAGGGACTTCTAATGTGTACCACTGAAAAAAGGCATCTGCCCCCATCCCTCGCCCCTACCAGTCCATCGCTTTTAGTAGTCACTCATTGAGGCACATAGGTTCTTCATAGTGGACAATAAGAAGTATCAATCCAGTACCAGGGCTCTCAGTACACATAGAAAAGTAGTCCTTATGTACGTGTGGACATGTTATCAGTGTAGTATGAAAGTTTAACTCAATTTAACTGTAAAACATTCACATACAAGCATTCTTTGGTTTAAATTTTTAATCTAACTGTGTAGAAAATGTACAACATTTCAGTATCACTACCAGAAAAGATCCACTTTTACAGAGGCAAGCAGCCCTGTCTACACTGTACATATATATTTTGTGTTATAAAAATCATACACATTTGTTTTATCAGATTCCTTTTTTTTCTTTCCCAGTTATCTTACACACATGTATTATGTCATTGTGAACAAATGAAACAGCAGAATTTTAATTAAAGAACATGCTTTTAATGTCTAAAAACCTTCACGACATCACTCTTCCATCAGATATCCCCATTTGCTTATCATTGACAGCCTGTAAGAAATACACCATGTTCTCTTGGATAGATTCTTACTCAACGATGTTGATGTAACACTGATACTGAATTTGGAGACTCTTGTATTAAAACAGCCCTTTTTTTTATTGTAAGTGTTTGTTAGTAACGCTTCCCATTCACACGTCCTTTTAATGTTTATATACTGATGTTTGGTAGATGATGGTAGGATGCTCTGATGTCACACACGCACAGCCCAAAGCTTGCGAGCAAAAACACTTAAAACAGAAAAACACACATTGTTACACAGGGGGAATCCTACAGCCAGTTTGTATTTTTGGCAGTGATTTATTTTCAGATTACTCAAAATCCTCCAAGTTGCCCTCCCACTCATTTTTCTCTCTTTCTTTCTGCCACCATCCCTTCCTCTCGGAGGAGAACTTGCTTTTCTTTGGTAGCGTAAAACTCTCAAACCACCTCCTTTTTTTAACTCACTATCTGCTGCACACTCTACTCTTCTCTTTCTTTTTCTCTCAATTTGCATTCACGTCTCCCTGCTGGAACCAAAACTCATCTCTCTCTCTTGTTCTATCTCTCTCTCTGTCATCTCTGTTATCCACTATAAATATAGTTCCCTTGAAGCATTTTTGTGCTTTTTTCCCCCAACACTAATACCACAAGAAGTAAATCTGTTCTGCAGGCGAGTAAATGATGTAATGAGAGAAAGTGAGGAGCAGAGAGGAGGAGGAGAAGGACGAGAGCAAAGGAGGGATGTTGAACAATTAATCTTCCGCTGCTGTCACTCTGAAAGGAAGGGATGAGAGGGATGGAGAGCAGAGGGAGAAAAGACAAATTCAGGAAGGATTTGAAGAGAGCGGGAAGGAGTGATGGAGAGAGGGAGACATGGGGAGCCGTGTTTCGATCTTCATTTAATAATTGAATAATAATCTCCCTGGAGACATGACCTAGAACTGGCAGAGAGGGAGAGAGGCGGGATCAGGCGCAGGACGACACTCTGCTGCCCCCTTGTGATTTTAAGATGTCACCACTATAACAGGCTGTGTGTGTGTGTGTGTGTGTGTGTGCACGGCGTGTGTGTACATGCTCATCGGCGTGTGTATGATTTACAACTGCAACCTGTCTCTGTCACACAGATACAGACCCGCGTCTGTGACGGGGATAGAAAAAAGGGGGCTTTTGGATGTCAGGAAAGAATCTATTTCACTTTGTCACACAAACTACACACAGATCCCATCCCAGACACAGAGTCAGACCTTATCTTCCTGTCAAGCCGAGTTCTTTTTAGGGTTGACGCTGATATATGAGCTTTAGTGGGCTAGGGGGAGGGGGGGTGGGGTGGGGTTAAAAACGTAGCCAGGACGTTGACGGCTGACGTGAGTGCAGCGTTGCGCTCAGGTTGATGTACGAGCAGTGGGGTTAGGGGACAACGCTGCGCTGACACCAGGAGAAGGAGCTGTGGCCCTGGGGCCTTCAGTTCATACTGAAGAGCCAGCTCCGCATTCTCCGCATGCAGCAGCCCTGCAGCCACAAATACACACACACACTTACCTTACACACACCTGCTTTGTGTTATTAATAACTCAATAACTCTCAAACAAAGAGTTCTTTGACCCCAAGTGAACATGCAAGATGAAACACCTTCATCAAATTCAGCAAACACGACACAACAGACAGTGATGTGAGAGGGTGAATCTGTGTGTGTGTGTGTGTGTGCTTGTGTTGTGTTCGGACCAACATTGTGTGTATCCAGAGATGTTGCAGAAATAAAGCCAGCAAGTAGAAGTAACAAGCATGTTAAAATACAAAGTGTAGCTCTCATTCTGATTGTTGTTAATCTAACTCTTTCCGTTCTCTCTGTGTGTTTTTTTGTTGTTCTTCTCAAGTCTGCGTAGGGAGGGTTACACCATGCAGGTGAATGTCAACGACTACCTGGACATCTATTGCCCTCACTACAACGACAGCCAGCGCATGGTGGGCACCGGGGAGCAGTACGTCCTCTACATGGTCAGTTACCGGGGTTACAGGAACTGCGACCCTCAGCTGGGCTTCAAGAGGTGGGAGTGCAACCGTCCCCACGCCCCCCACGCGCCCATCAAGTTCTCGGAGAAGTTCCAGCGATACAGCGCCTTCTCGCTGGGCTACGAGTTCCACGTCGGACAGGAGTACTACTACATCTGTAAGTGGAATCCAAACAATATCAATATGTTTTTTTAATGTATACTGTATCACCAATAAATCATTTTGTATGTTCTCAGAGCATAAACAACTAATGGGAACAAGCAGTAGTGCTAAAAACTCTGCCTCTAAAACCAAACATGTTTTGATTTGATTGTTTAATGGATTTGGTGATGACTCTATGTGGAGTAGACAAAAAGGCTGTCCTGTCCTCAGGTGATTTCAGACAACAAATTGCTGTTTCACATCTAATCAAATCACGCTACCGTCAAGCAGGCTCATCAATTTTGTTCAGAGCTAATCAAATTATCTCACAACAACTCATGCTGCTTTGACACTGTATAAATAATAGACTTTGAGCTTGTCATCAAACCACTTTAAATGAAGTATTTCATAAATGTCTCATGCATTAAATGGGTATATAATGAAGGCAGTGATCATTAGCGCTGCATCGGATGACGGGAGAAGTCTCCCTGAGAGTTTTTGTGCTGCAGCATTAGATAGCTGCTCCGTGTGGGTTCTCCTGCCTACCCAGCAGTCTATAACATCCAGGGTAGGTCAGATGGTCACCCTAAATAGCCCCTGGGTGTGGATGTGTGCCTCTTGATGTCATCCCTGTGAATGACTGGTTAGCTGCACTGCTTTAAGCATTTTAAAGCAATCCTTTTTTACTCGTCAGAGTAAGAAAAAAAAACCTCATGTTACCGATACTGTTTAAGGTGGCCGTCTTTTATTAAAGTTTTTCCTTTTTTGCACCTACTGTGCTCTGTATTTATCATTCTGTAACATGTCAAAGCAGACATGTCTTATCTTTAAAAGTAGTCCATTATTTTTTAATAATTAATAACGATATTATTACTATTAAAAAAACACACTTTATTCAAGATGAAGATCAAATCATCATCTCACGTCAGAGCTTCAAGATAATATTCATTTTGATGATTCATCTTTGTGGTTCCCGCAGTTTATCAAGTGAATTCAACAAATAAGTTTGATATTTTGGACTGCCAATAAGATGGTTTTGTTCATACAGTGGCTTAAATGTGCTTGTATTCCCTATTGGTGTGTGAACAGGCTGTGTATGCGTCAATTCCTTCGGACAACAAGTTGTTGGCCACACTATTGAACAAATGAAGTTATACATGTGTGTTTAATGTTGTGATGTTTGGCAATAAAACGTTTTTTTTTCTATATACTTTTATCAAACATTTTAAAACCAGTAGTCTCCCGGTCTAAAACATGTTTTAAGTCTACAAAAAAACTTAAAGGGCGGTCGGTCTTCACTTTAACTCTGCAGAAATATGTTCATTTGAGTTACAGTTACCGTACTAGTAAATACAGCACTACGTCACATGCAGTCACTGTGTCATATTAGCCGATGTGCCCCAGTGCATCTTGGAAGAAAATATAATGATGCGCCAATGCAGCACCACATCTTTCTCTTACTCCTATGGCTAGATTTGAGGTTGCTTGAAACCAGCATACTGTGAGAAACTGATGCTCACACAGGTGTAGATCACCATTCAAAGAGATGTTAGGGTCATACACATTTTTTATTCATTTTATTGTATATTAACTGTGTTTATTTGGAGAACACTCATATCTTGTATCCAGTCTGGTAACGTTGACTGGACTGATGCATCACTTTTGATTTGTTACTGTGTAGTGCGGCGATAACCAGGATGTAAACATCACAAAAACACATTTTAAATCAGTTAATCAAAAACACTCAGCTTTGGTCGGTTATATAACCAGGACACCCAATGTTACATTACATTTAACTTGTTTACATTAGAATCTTTAACTTTGTTCCAAGTCTCTTTTCTGGTTTTAGCTTGACATTTTTTCTTTAAACATCCCAACATAAAAGACCTGAACATGTGTTCTTACCAAAAACTTTTTGAAATTATCAAGTATGTGATCATGATTTAAGTAATTTTGATGACCTTAGTTAGATCTTTGGCACACCACCAGGGAAATGAATGATCTATTGTGCATTTTATATTTCCACAGCCACACCCACCCATCATCATGGCCGCAGCTGTCTGAGACTACGGGTGTACGTCTGCTGCTCCACTGGTGAGTCTCGAACTGTGTGTGTGGTTTTATTTCGGTAGTGTGTGTGTGTGTGTGTGTGTGTGTGTGTGTGTGTGTGTGTGTGTGTGTGTGTGTGTGTGTGTGTGTGTGTGTGTGTATGTGTGTGGTGTTTGACCTGCTGTAATGTAATGCTTGGACCTGTTTGCAGACTGTATTTGCACCCATCTGGCTACTCCACCATCTGGCGGCCACCGGGCTACCCACAAACCCACATACACACACACACACACACATATATTCACAGACTTATTACTCAAACACACAGCGGCTGCATACAGATGTACACACAATCTAAATACAGTCTGAAACAGGCAGAGCTATTAATACTCCTGCTGAGCTTCCCCTGCAGCATTTTCACTCACAACACAGAACCCCCTCTTTGCTCTTCTGCTTCTTCTTCTTCATCTTCTTCTTCTTCCTCTCTCTTTTTCTGTCTCTGTCTTCTCTCTCTCTTCTCCTGCTCAGCAGAAAGGAGCAGCTCCAGCTTTGAAGGCCCCTCACCCCGCCTCCTCCCTCTCCTCCCCTCCGTCATCCCCTCTCTCTCTCTTTCGCTCCCTGTCAGAATCCATTTATTACTGTGTGCGGTCAGTGGGTGGCTATGTATATGTGGTGTTAACCTCTCTCGCTCTCTCGCTCTCCTGCCTTCCTTCAATCTCTCGCCCCTCTCTCGCTCAAACACACGTACATACACACAGACGCACACACACACACACACACACACACACACACACACACACACACACACACACACACACACACACACACACACACACACACACACACACACACACACACACACACACACACACAGACTCTAACACTCACAGAGCTCACACTTATACACACAGACTTTGATCCCTGGCCTGTCCGGTCCTTTTAACTTCCACAGCCCTGTAGTATTAACCTCTCCTCCCTTTCACACCCCGGCTCCATCGCTCTCCTTCTCTTTTCACACACTGCCTCTCTTCAGCTTGATCTCCCTCCCCTCTTCTCTCCCTCTCTCTCTCTCTCTCTCTCTCTCTCTCTCTCTCTCTCTCTCTCTCTCTCTCTCTCTCCGTCTTTCTCTCTCTTCTGCTCCCTTATTGTGGCTTGTCAGTCTCTCTGCTCCGGGGGATTTTTATTTTTATTTTAACCCCTACACCCTTGCCTTGCTGTTCCCTAGGCTGTTCTCTCAACATGTCGACTTGGATGTAATTAAAATCCTTTGGGTTTGAGGAATGGTTTAACCCCATCCAACCTCACTCTCCGGCTCACTCGTTTTCTGTCTCACTCAATTTTATTCTCTCTCTTTCAGCCTCTGATGTGGATGATGAGCCAGAGCCTACAGAACCAGACTACACGCTTAGACCAGGCATAAAAATCTATGATATTGGTGAGTCACACACACACACACACACACACACACACACACACACACACACACACACACACACACATACACACACATACACACATGCACGCACACACGCACACACACACACACACACACACACACACACACACACACACACACACACACACACACACACACACACACACCTAAAGTAGATGTGAGTAAATGTGGAACATCAGGACCTTCTGGACATATAAAACAGATATGAACTCATGTTTATCAGTTAGAACACATCAGTCTCAAATCATGTGATTCATATTATTCACAGTCATGCAACCATAATGAAGTTCAAGGTTAATTATGCATCAAACCACAAAAACAGACTAAAACCAACAATATGTTTTTCCATCTCTAGTAACGTCTGAACTGTTTGTGGAATATAAAAGTCCTTAAATATTGGTAATACATTGTTATAATCAAAATGAAAGAGACTTAGCAATTTCACCAAATTACCGGTGTAATACAGACCTGGTTACTTATTAAAGCTACAGAGTGGTAAATGTGAGACTCATACTCATTGTCTAAAAAATAAAAGCGTACAGGCATTTATATGTCATATATTATAGATTTTTAAAAAGTGATTAAATCAATTTAATGATCACAGAACTTTAACAAAAGTATGGGAAAATTAATTTCTTGATTACATTTTACAACATTTATATTGAAGAAGAACTGAAAAATAACAACAATATTTTCTTTTATCTTTAATTTAAATGCATGTTTTTATTTCAGATTTTCTCATTTGTTTAAGATTATTTTAATGTCGCCATGATTTTCATCTTCTCACCTTTTAAGTTATAACTTTAGTCTCTTTTTTCCAAACACCGTCTTTGATGCTTCATTCAGTCCACGATCAGATAGCAGGTCAGCCCTCGTCGAGCCTAAAAGGCTTAATTCAGGGCAGCAGAAAGCCAATAAAGCCCTTAGTGTGGCTCCAATGATATGATGATCTGTATGGGGGGAAAAAAGCAACAATTTTCATCATCTCAAAGCTTCTCTGATTTGGATTATCTCTTTAAGAGGACACTGATGAGAGAGTGATGTCAGTTCCCCCCCCCCCCGCATGCAGTGAAAATGTCACACTCATTTCTTCATGTTGATTATAACACAAACATTAATTATCACTAGAGGTAATTTTTTCAGACATTTTGTGGTTAATGCAGAATCAA